AAAGATCCTTAAAAGTGGTTCATCCATGAAACTGATCCTAGAGCTCCGCAGTTTTTTTTTTCGAAAACACGTGAAACTGTAATAAAAGAAAGAATTTGGGGTCGTGACATAAACATGGACCCGGATGGCTATGAAACCGTCCTTTGGCAGATTCGGAGCATGGGTAAAATTGAAACTGATTCTAGAGCTCAGCAGTTTTTGTTTATCTCTTGGATCTGTGATATAAGAAAAAAAATAGCTCGTGACGTAAGCATGGACGTGGATGGGCATTAGACCATCCTCTGGAAGATCTGGAACATCCTTAAAAGTGGTAAATCCATGAAACTGATCATAGAGCTCCGCAGTTTATTTCAAAAAATATTAGGAATTGTGATATAACAATGAATTTGAGGTCGTGACATAAACATGAACCTGGATGGCCATTGGACCGTCTTTCGGAAGATCTGGAACATCCGTAAAAGTGTTTCATACATGAAACTGTGAAAAACCCGCGATTTTTTCGAAAACTTCGCAGTTCGAAGTGTTTTTGAGAATGCAATTCTAGAATCTGTATCATCGATGAATCACTTTTATGGATCTTCCAGAAGATGGTTTCAAGGTCAAACGGGTCCATGTTTATGTCATGATCCCAAATTCTTTGTTATATCACAGTTTCAAATGCTTTCAAAAAAACTCTAGGATCAGTTTCGTGGATTGACCAATTTTACGGGTGTTCCGGCTCTTTCAGAGGACAGCCTCATGGCTATCAGGGTCCATGTTTGTCACGACCCCAAATTCATTCTTATATTACAGTTCCACGTGTTTTCGAAAAAAAAACTGCGGAGCTCTAGGATCAGTTTCATGGATGGACCAGTTTTATGGATGTTTCAGAACTTCCGGATGGTGGCCCTATGGCCATACAGGTCCAGGTTTATGTCATGATCTCAAAATTCTTTCTTATATCACAGTTCCTAATGTTTTCTAAATACCGCGGAGCTCTATCATTTCTTTCTCTTTCTACCATCGCTTCATTCGTGTTTTTTTTTCAAACTTCGGCGAAGTGGACGAATGGAGGAGCGTTCGACACTGAAAGAAATTGAAAGCCAAATTGAAACTTCGTTTCAACTCGTAAATTGACGTTACTTCCATTGAAAGGAAGCGAGCAATTCTTTTTTCAATTTCGTTTGGCGTAGCTAGGCTAGACAGTAGACTGGCCCACAAAAATAAAAGTTCTAATTTTTTCACGGGCCAACCCCTAGATTTGTGCCTTTTAGGTGAGAAAACCATTATCCGAATGTTTCAGATCGTTTGGTCCTAAGATGAGCTGGCGCTTTTAATTTGAGTTTTGTATGGGGAATTTGGATAAAATACATGACAAAATGACACTCCTACACTCTATTGATCATACAAATGTTTCTTTATTCTTGATTGGATTCCGATTTTCAAAACTTGTAGTTCAGTTTATTAGCAACAACTTTGCTGAAGATTGCATCATTAATCCAGTTAGTTTTATTGAGATATACGCATTTGAATTTACATGAGCATTTTGTATATGAAAATTTCAACCAAATCTCCTATATGAACATTAAACCAAAAGCGCCAGGCCGTGTAGCTTCAAAAAGAGCTGAAACATATCAATTTTAAATCAAAAGCGCCAGCTCGTGTTACATCTGAATGAGCTACAACTTTTAGAGAGTGGTTTCCTCACCTAACGGCACAAATCTAGGAGTTGACCCATTGAAAAAAAAATTAGTGTGTAGTGGTTTAGATATTTACAATGGTCCTAAAAACTCATCCGCCTAGTCCTAACGCCAGATGTCTAAAAATTAATGAAAATAATTAATATCGTCCGGAAGAAAATCCTTGCGGGGTTTCTACATGGACGTAGAAAAGAAGTTTCGTGCATTTCCTGAATCGGAACAGGAATGTATTTTGTGCCGGGATAAAACACAAATGCTTCTTATGCTAGATGGAGGGACAATGGATGAATTTCAACCCCAAGCGAAAGACGACTCACTATATATATTTATATGTCTTCCATCCATATATTTATCTAATAAAAATTAACGATAACAGAACATAACGCCTATAAAATAAAAAGACCGAGCAGGGGACAGACAGGGTGTCAGCGAAAGGAATTGAAAACTACAGTGAGGATTTGTTTCAACTCGTAAATCGACGTTACTTCCATTAAACGGAAGCGAGCAAAGCAAGACGATTAAATCCACATCTCCTTCATATTCGTTTGGTGTTGCTGGGGTAAACAGGTGTTATGAAAATGATGGGTTAAACACGTTACCTAGAAAGAAGGAAACTTGAGCTCATTTCAGAACTTCGAAAATGTAGAGCCCTGGTCGCCTGGTAACTAATCTCCTTATCTCTATAAAATTAACCTGCTATACTCCTCACGATCTCCATACAGTTAACTTTAGAGGCAGCTAGTAATTCTTCTTGGAGTTCTCCCATGGAATTATTATAAGAATCACCACTGAATTCAATTCAAAACATTCCTTCTTCTCCCCTTGGAATTTATCTCAGAAGTCCTCAGCACATCATCATTGATCAGACCTGTCATAATTTTGTTCGCTTTTGTTTTGTAGCAATTCTCCTTCTTCCTTCTAATGAACACTATTGTATTTCTCCTCAGAATTGTATAGAAAATTCTTTGAATTATTAGAACCCTGTAAACTATTCCAAGTTGTAGAACCTTGAACATTTTCCTGAGCCCATATTTTCTTTTATTCTGGGATCTTGGATTTTTTTTTCATTCCTCATTTGGACAATTTTTCTCAGTCCTAGATTGTTTGAAAAAACAATACTGCTTTTTTCTTCTTAAAAGCCAGTTTTTCTAGATAGCAATGGCGTCGCCCTAACCTCAATCTACGTGTGTAACAACTCTCAAAACGTAAACAAATAAAAAGTTATTGCTTTAAAATGTTGCAAATTAGTGAAACTAGAAGATGACGAGGCTAAGTGGTTACCGTTTCTGCTTACTAAGCAGAAGGTCGGGAGTTCAATCCCAGGCCCGTCCCCTTCCTTGCAATTATTCACTTTGCCTTAATTCTATACCCACTAGATTTTAATGAAAACAAATTCTTCTTTAACACCGATCGCATCACTTACCACAGTGTGGGTCCTGATCTAAAAAAAAAAATAGAAATTGGATGAGTGCGCGCGCGTGTGTGTGTGTGTGTGTTTGTGTATTATAATCGCTCTACCAAAAACGATCCCTGCGTGTGCGTGCAACCTTTCCCCACATCCAACATCCCAGTGATTTCTCGTGGAAGCGCAGAGGATTTCTCGGTTTCCTTCACAGCGAGTACCACGTCAACACATTCCTTCCCATTCCCTAGTTGACCTGCATTCGGACACGGCCGGCGCTGGTATTGCTAAATATTAGATCTCCAGTTCTTACACATTGAGGATGAATGTTAGTCCCAAACATCATCTGTTGGTTCTCTGTGTAATTGCAGCTGATCTGGTAATAACAGAGCAGCAACCGTGGGCGGTCAATCATGCTTTGCTTTTGCTTTGCAAATTAGTGAAACTAGAAGACCCTATGCATTTTGAGACCGATTTGAGTTGATGGCTCTAAATATCGTTTTCAAAGTTGTTGAACAGATTAAAAGTGAGGCTACGAGACGCCGCTGCTAGATAGGCAATTATGTCGGAATCTAAAAGGAAATTACTCAACCCACTTCAAAAGTTCCTCGGGACATGTGACAGGAGTTCTGAGCAGTATTTCAAAATCTGTGAGGAGTGTGAAATTTTTGAAAGTCCCAGAATTACAAAAATTGGAATGTCTACCCAGATGCACGAAAAGTCCCTAGTATCTTGACGATTTTTATAAATCAAATATAGGAAAAAAGTCAACGCCTCAAAATCGTGGAAGGTTTTGTAAATACCCTTTTTTAGATTACTGTTAGTACAGACTACACACTTAGATTTTTTGCCGAGATGGGCACCACCGAGCAGCTCGGCAATCTATCTTGCTGGATATCAGTGAAAAATTTGCCGAGATTCAGTTAACAAACGGGAATTTTGCCGACATCTCGGCTAACAAACATATATTTTGCTGAGATCTCAGTAAAAATAAATGCCGAGCTTGCTCGGTGGTGCCAATTTCGGCAAAAAAAATTAAGTGTATAAGAAGTAGGGTTCAAACATTTTATTGCTCCAGGATCTACAACAGTTTTTCCTATGAGAAAGGCCCCGGCGTAGTGATTAACCTTTAACACCAAAGATACGAGTTTAAATTTCATCCCCGGACAAGTCACAAATTACTCTTTAAGTGACTTTAAAAAAAATAGCACCAAGACCTCATTTGTATCAAGTTCATGATTGTTTAAACATTGTCCTAATTCAATCTCTCTCTCTCTCTCTCTGTTGACAATTCGGGGTAATGACCCATTTAACCCAACATTGTTCGGCCTAGTGAGCTGAAAACATAAGAAGTCTCAAGTTTTGAAATGTGCTACAAATTGATGTTTCTAAGTATCTTGAAAATTACATTTACTTTTTGTAATCATACAAAGATTGTAGCATTCGTATTGGTTGGTCTATCGTAAAACTCAGGCTTTATCATCAATAAGTAAAATTATCAGCAACCGGTTCGACCAATCGGCCACACCATCTGTGTGTGCAAATTTGAATCGTTTTTTGCATATGATTGTTTATCTACGAATAAACAAAAATAAAGAAATCGCTTCCTTCAACCCAACCGGATGCGCCATGGTCCGTCCCCGTCTCGGCTTATCTGAATTGAGCTTGCCTTATGATAAATATTTACACCCGTTCATCAGAAGAAGAAGGGACGGCTTCGCTTCGGCGATGCCGCGCCCGCCTATTGAATAACAAAAACAAACGCTAACCAAAAGATTATCACAATTATATTTCGCACCGCTGAAAAAAAAAGCGCAAGTAATTCCTCAAACCACTGCCCTCGGACTTTTATCTCGTTAGGCTTAATTACGATCCATGCGCTAATCACTGCCAACTTTCTTCTCTTCTCTCACCAACAGCTCAAACTCGGCAGCACGCTCAATCCCTCCATCCAGTTTGTCAACGGTGGTGAGGGCTATCTGTCCTTTCCCTCCAGCGGCAACAATGTGCAAAAGTTCAGCTTTTCGATCTCGGACATCGACGGTGGCGGCTCGATCGAGTGCATCCAGCAGAACCAGGGCCAACAGCTGCAGAACATGGGCCACATCCAGCACAAGATGAGGATACACGCCAACGATGACGTGTACGAGCGGACGAGACACCGAATGGCCGCCGTCGAGGAGACTCAAAAGAACAAATGGTGAGTACATACATTTAGCTCAAACGTTGATGTTGAAGGTTATCCGGAGATTGAACTTGAACACTCGTCAACCGGCGCCGCACCTGCGAAAAAAAAGCAGCATTCGGGGAATCCCTGAACCCTTTTCAACTATGGGTAATGATATGCGAATCAACTGTATGTCTGTGTGTCCCTGTATAGTGCGCAGCAGAGCACCTCTAATAAAACCAGATTGACGGAAGGAAGGCGCATTTCTAGGTCAGTCGATCTTGAAGTCTGGTTTCGCACGCACTGACCAGCCCCGCACCGACGTACGCATAATGTGTGTGCTCGATGATGATCTAGTCTTGGGGCTTGAAATCCGGCAAAAGCCTATTTTTTCCCATTCAGTCGTCGAGTCTCGAGAGTCGTCGAATTACTTAACGGACGGATCGATCGTTGGGGTTTACGTCATCTCAGGCCGAGCATTTTCACTGGGATGGCTCGCTGCGCTTGTCTGCATACTAAGCTAATGTGTGCGGCTGATCATTCCCAAAGCCGACCGGTTCGTTCGGACGGACGAGAGATTGTACGCACCTTGCACCGTCCGTCCGTCAGCAGCCACCGTACTTCGGTGATCGACGAGTGAGAGTTCCTGTGTTGAAGGTGCTTATGTGCAAACTAATGATCCAATGTGAAAGTAAATTCGTTAGCGATGTGCTTTTGTGGGAACATAAGTTGAGTTTCCGAAAACAAAATACTTCTTCAGTTTCATCCGTTTCATAATTGTGCGATCTTTGCGCCGCGTCTGTATCTGCATCTCAATCGTACATGCATGCAGAATTGGCGAATGTGCCATCAAACTTGACCTAGACTGCTTTTTTCATTGACTTGAATAAATCAAAGCAGTAGCTCGTTTTTTTATTGTATGGGTGTCAACCAAAGTGGTGCCGTGCTCTGCTTCTGCTGCTGCGCTACTGTTAATGATCTCATTCTTCTGCATTGTCACTGTTGATGGTGTGTGCCAAATTTAGCTTGCCAACCCCTTGACACTAGATCAAGGATAGTCGATAGTGTATGCTGCGCTTTTGATGGGAACTTTGTTGGTAAACAAAATGGTTCGCTGAATTCCATTTGCCTACCACTAGTTTACGTCTTTAGGATGTTTACGATAAATCGTTCGGTTGTTGAAATTGCTAATCAAACTAACGGAATTCCTCAGGGTCGAATTAACGTTTGCAAGTCATTTATTTTTTCAATTCGACTGACGGGTCGCAAAAACTGACAGACGCTTTGGGGCGTCTCATCTCATCAACCTGGCTTCGAATAGTAAGTTTAGATGATGGGTTTTATTTTGGTTCTGCGTTGTTTTTCTGTTGTACGAAGGAATCAGAGCGAAATTGATGCTTCGGGCGTTTGGATAACGATGATTCCATTCTAAATTGGATATCCAAATAAGCTTAATAAAATAAAGTTCATTATATGATGTTTTCTTGTTCTTTAATTCCCGATTCAATTACAATGTTTTCAAAATGGTCCAGGTGAAATCTAAAGCGTGTTCAGGTTTAGAAAGGGGGCGTTTTGTTGTGATCGGTCGGTCATCCATACTGAGCGAAAACATAAACAAATTTTAGATTTTACCTCTCGGAATTCCATTAAACTTCGCTTAATTGTTCGTTAGGGGCAATTAACCTTGTTTGTGCCGGAATTCGGCCATTTTGACTCATACCTATTGTTTCAAAATGGCGTATTCGATATTTTTCAATAAATCATTCAATAAATCAAAAGACGTGTGAGGCAAAGTTGTAGGACGCTGGTCAGAAAAAAAACACACTGAACATTTTTCGTCAAAAAAAACTTAAAAATTTCAATAACAAAAAAAGTAGATTTTAAAGATTTTTAAACTTATGTTTATTTAAAAGCTTATCAAAAATGCTAACTTTTCTGAAATGGACACAATGGATAAGGTAAAGGTTTGACTTCTTCGAAAGAGAGTGTCTACAAGAAAAATTATCCTTTTAACGTAGGTAGTGACTAGGGTGGTTCTATTTTTTTTATTTGAAAATTAACTTTTTGTTTTCAATTTTCAAAGGAATGCTTGCCTCTACAAAGTTATAGATAAATTAATTTTAAACAAAAAAAAATTGCAAAAAAATAAAAATTCTATCTCATTAACAAATTTTTCAACATTTTTCGAAAATTAGAAAGGGTAACTCTAATGAAAACTTTATTTTTGCTCTAACTTCTTTATTTCGATTTCATTGTGAGAACCATCTTCGAAGAACTTTAAGAGCAACGCATCTTTTGATGGTTGTGGAGAATTGATAGATATTGTTTTACGAAAGTTTTGATGATTTTTGTGTAAAAACGATCAGTAATATTTTTCATTTCAATCATATTTTAAATTTAAATCATTTAAAAAAATCGAAGCTCGAATGCAAATAGGTTTCTTTCTAACTTTACAGACGCATGTATTCCTATAAATCTTAAAAATAAAGGTTTATTTTTTATTTTGAATCCACGCCAAAAGGAAAATCTTTTCTTGTGAACAAACTCTCATAAAGATGTCAAACTTTTTTATTGGGAATTGCTAGCTGTTGTCTTACGAATCAATAAATGTCACTATTGTTAACTTTTTCATTGTTTTAAAGTCACTATTTGCGTTTTGTTAGTCACTAAAGTCACTACTATGGCATCAAATACTCACTACCAGCCCGCGTATTTTATAAATTTTCATAATGCACGATTTTGAATCGGTTTAATTTGTGACAACATGTGAGCACTGTGTAAATTTCATCAGAAGTCCATTGAAACTAATAACCGTAGGCTGAAATTACTTTGAACTGTCAGTTACATGAGCTAGCTTTCATGTCGCGTGTTTTGCGTGACAGTGGCCGTCATCGTCGCCGGGTTTGACTGAGTATATTGTTATATCGACAACTCGATCGTAAGTGGATCGTATTTTGATATGAGGGGCTCGGTGGTCTATGAGTTACCGTTTTTGCTTTCTTAGTATGGTTTCAATTCCAAGCGTTGTTAGCATCGCAAACAAACGATCACATCACTTATACTGGCCGTTCCTGATGGGCTTAATTTTCAACTATAAATCCCTTTGCTCTATGATAGATGTGGAGATGCAGAGATTTTCTCGGTCTCTCGTAGCAACGTCTATAAAACGAACGATCCTTTCCTTGCATGATGACCGTAAGGGCATGGCTGGCGCTATTATTGATCGTGATAATACTAATTCACCCGAATTTTCACACTGAGAACGGATTGCTAATCCCAAAGCCCCATTTATTTGGTTATTTGTGCAAATTTTGCTGGATCTGGTCAATCACGGAGTAGATCCGATTAATTAAAATGAGCTGTAGATTAATAAAATTTCACTCAAATTTATGCTTCTTCTTCTTCTTTTTCGCATTTTTAAGCTTATTGCTTAGCGCATATTAGCTTATTGCGTGCTCTCTACTTAGTGTTCTAAATGCACTTCCACAGTTATTAATTGAGAGCTTTCGATGCCAATACCAATGCATGCAGATGTATATTGTGTGGCAAGCACAATGATACTCTATGCCCAGGGAAGTCGAGAAAATTTCCAACACGAAAGATTCCCTCGACCGGACCGGGAATCGAACCCGCCGCCTCCGGCTTGGTGATACCGTGCCTTTGCTGACTAGGCTATGAGGCCCCTAAGCCTCAAATTTGTGTTTACTCCGTTTTAATTAAATCACGGTTAATCATAGACTTGTTCAAAATTTGCTTGAATTTGAGTCACTCGTATTCGCCCAAATTTTGCTCGGATATGAGTAACATTTACCTAACATCAAATTCGAGCAGATTTGAAGTTCGGTCAGACTGATCAGTGATCCGTAATTTAAAAACCTTCTAAGTTTCGATGACAAATCGGAAAAAAATAAGATTCTGGTCCTTGAAATATTGTCAAGGTCCTTGCGCTGGACTGGATTTTCAGAAATTTATCATATTGAGGAATTAGGACATTCAGAAGGGTGTAGTGGCATAATGACACGTTCGAACGCCAATAGGTCGAACGTGTCATTATGCCAAATGGATCATTAGGTCGAAAATCATTAGGGCGAATGGGTCCCTGGGCCGAATTTTGAAAAGTGAAAGACTGAACTTGAGGTTCTCTATGGAACAGTTTTCTACAATCTGGGACATTGAAAATTTGTCAACCTCTCCTTCTGAGAGGGACATCGAAGAAATTACAATGTCTTAAACTTAGGTTCTAGATTGTTTGAAAAATCATCAAAACGGCCCACTGTAAATAAAATATGACAATTTTGAGACATGTAACCTTCTGGACTTGGATTCTTCTCACACTGTCAAACAAAATGTCAAGATCTCATTCTACGAAAAAAAAAAGGATTCTTGACTTAGTCCTTATTTTAAGATTTCCAATTGACCACTTTGTCAAGCAGTTTTGGCGTGACTTTCTACCAGCGATTTCTATTTTTTTATGAAACGCACAAATTTTGGCAATTTTCCTCGTGGTTCTAGAAGAAAAAATCTCAAAATAATGTTTTATTTCAAAGTTCAAGTGGTAGTAAACGTCATTTTAACTGCTCGAATGAAGTGGTTAATTTGAAACCCATTCAAGATTCTTGATATTTTTAGAGTTTAGAGTTTAAGGGTTTTCGTAGCAGATTTTTCCTTCTTCCTGGGCATATTAAAACAAAATAGCTTATCATTATTATTTACTTTTTATTTTATTATAATATAATATGAATTTGGCCGGTTGCTTTTGGTGCAGCTCCACTTGGTTATTTGGCTGAGATCATTCCTTTTTATTTATTTATATAGTAACCCCTCCCTATCTTTTAAACATCAATTCAGCTTATCGTTTACCAAAACGAACCTTGCTGCAAACCCTACCCTCTTACCCAACATCCCAGTGACTCCTCGTGGAAGTGCAGAGGATTTCTCGGCTTCCATCAAAGCGAGTGTCATGTCAACACATTCCTACCCATTCCTTTCTTGACCTGTGTTCAGGCGCGGCTGGCGCTGGTATTGCCTAATTT